TGATTTTAGAATTAAGTCTAGTCTACTTGCTACTCCCTTCAAGGGCCCTCCCTATACCTGAACTAATAATAGGGATGATGATCAACTGATCTTACACCGTCTAGATCGGGACTACATGACCTCTGACTGGTTTCATAATTATCCAGATAGTCGGTTATTCAATCAACCGATTCTTATCTCTGATCATGCTGCTATTTGTTTTGATGACTCCCACTTTCAGACACACTCAAACCGTCCATACCAATTGGACAATCGGTGTCTGAATTTTTAGGAAATACATGTCTTTGTCCTCACTACATGGCAAAGGAATATCTCCGGCTCCCCGATGTTCACTCTCTCAAAGAATCTGGAACATGTTAAGTCATTAGTCAGGAACTGGTGCCTCAATAATAAGAAATTTTGGGGTGTTGATTGGAAAAAATTTTCGAAGGATCTTTCCACTAAAGGGGAGTCACTACGGTCGGTTTCTGATGCCTCACTCTATATGTCGAATATAGTTTCGTCAAAGGATAGTATCTTGGTGCAGCTACAGTTCTGGAGACAGCGTTGCAAGAAGAACTGGATATTGAAAGGCGATTGCCCGTCTAAATTATTGTTTTCAAAGGTCAAATGTCGTCAGAAAAAAAATGAGATTTCATCGTTGTTCGATGATCTGGGAGTGCTTCAACATGGACGGTCAGATGTTCAGCGTGTTGTTGTGCAGTCTCTGAAAAAAAACCTTTAAGAGTGATAGCTTGCCTCCTTATGATCCGGAAATTGATATCGTTTTGCGTGAATTAGACCTTCCTTGGTTTAATTCCTCTCAACTCGCTAATTTGGAACGGCCTTTCCCTGCTTCTGAGATCTGAGCTACAATGTTTTCCCTAGGAAACTGTAAGTCGCCGGGCCCAGACGGAATCACTGTTGAGTTTTTTAAAACTCACTGGGATGTAGTAGGAGATTCGTTGGTTTCAGGCATTCTCAGTTTTTTCCAGACGGGGTACCTTCTAAAAGAGTGGAATCAATCTCTCCTTGTTATGATTCCCAAGATTGGTACCCCAACAGAGATGGCACATTTGCGACCGATTAGCCTTTGCAACACAGTGTACAAATGCGATTCAAAGTGTTTGGTGGGCAGGTTACGCCAGTATCTTCCTCTCCTCATCTTAGACTCGCAGCACGCCTTTGTTCAAGGACGTGTCATGACGAATAATATTTTACTAAGCCATGAATTAATGGAAAAAATCAATTGTTCCAAATTAGGCACTAATTGGCTTGCGTCAATCAAAACTGATATGAGCAAAGCTTATAATAGAGTTCACTGGAGCTTTCTTTTGCAGGTCTTAAAAGCCTATGGGTTCCCGCCACGTTGGCTCCAGATGATCCAACAATGCCTCGCCACGGTTACTTACAAATCCTTGGTCAATGGAACAACTTCGGATACCTTTAAACCACAATGTGGTCTTCGTCAAGGTGACCCCATCTCTCCATATCTTTTTCTTTTCTGCATGGATATTTTCTCTCGTATGTTGCACTTAGGTCAAGATATGAAACGTTTCCAAGGTATTAAGCTGTCTAGATTGAGCCCAACCATCTCGCATTTATTCTTTGCGGATGACGCGCTCATCTTTTTCCGGGCGACCCCTGCTTCCTGTACTAATATCATGCAGATCATTCAACGGTTTACGAAGATTTCAGGAGAAGAGCTAAACTTGTCAAAGTCCTTAATTAAGTTTAGCCCAAATATATGTACCTCCTCTAAGGTAGCTTTCAAATCGATATTCCAAATGAAGCTTGTTCAGGTGTTTGATCATCATCTGGGGGCTCCAATTGATTTCATGGGAAAAAAGAAAGACCACTTCCAATTCGTCATCGATAAAATCATTGGCAGAGTTAATTGTTTAAATGTTATCCGGTTGTCACAATCGCAAAAGTTAATTTTTATTAACTCTATCCTTGTAGCAATGGTCTCTCATGTTCTCTCCTGCTATGAGTTACCGGCCTCGGTTACTGGGAAAATTGATTCCTTACTCTTGCGTTTCTTCTGGGCACATTCGGAAACTAAGGGTATGCACTGGGTTAAAAAGAATACTATGCATCTTCCTCGTGGATTGGGTGGTCTGGGCATTCGATGTCTGTCTTCCTTAAACAAGGCGTTACTGATGAAACAGGTTTGGAGGTGTTATTCTAACCCACAGTTGCTAGTGTCCAAAGTTTTCGGAGCAAGCACGACCTTTCTGTCCAACAACCCGGATAGTATGCGCACCTTTTGAGGGCGTCATTCGTATGGCCTACGGGGGTTACTTAGGGAGGACATTATTTTGAAACAGGGCTGCAACTGGAAGATCGGTAATGGCCTCTCCACTCTCGCAGGGTCAGCTAAGTGGGTCAATGGCCGTGTTCCGAAGTTCAAACCGGGAATTCATTTGTCTCGCTCTACGGAGCAAAAGGTTGGTTTTTTTTATCAATCCTCTGACAAGGCTGTGGGACACTACTAAGGTAGTCGACTGTTTTGTTCCACCGGACGCCTCCGCAATCCTCGCAATGGAGGTTCCTGATACGACTCAAGACGACTTCCGTTACTGGGTAAGTACTCCCTCTGGAAGGTACTCGGTGAAATCAGGTTATGCAATGCTTCAATTGCAACGTTCTCCTGTTACCACACATTCTAGTGCTGATTCCTTTTGGAAAAGTCTGTGGTCTCTCCAATTACAACCTAAATGGAAGCTGTTTTTATGAAAATTGCTACATCGTGCTCTAGCATTTAAGGTAGAGCTCCATCACAGAGGTGTTCTGATCCAAGATGTATTCTGTGACCTATGTCGTTCTGAACTAGAGGACTTGCAACATTTGTTTATAATGTGTTCTAGTGCACGCTTAGTTTGGAGGGGTGGATGCCTTGGTATCCGCTCAGAATTAAATGGAAACCTTGTTCTCTCAGATTGGATCCTAGATTATATCCGACTTTTTATTAGTCAGGATGGGCCTTCTAGTACTCGCTTAGGTACCTTTGTCGGTACGCTTTGGAGTTTGGGGCTCTGTCGGAATTCCAGAATCTTTAGGGATTCGTCTGTGTCACGCTCGTTTGATTCACAGTTCGCCGAGGTAATGGAATCACATACAACTTTTTCTGCTAAGGATACCTCTGCAAGTTCCATACTTGAAGAGGGAGGTGATGCTGGCTCCCCTCCTCCGCCCGAGTTTTATGTGGCTCAGCTTGGTCTGAGTACTCATAACAGTTCGTTGCTTTCTATGCAGATAGATGGGTCTTGGTTCAAAGACTCTCAACATGCTGGTATGGGATGGTGCTTGGATAATGATGACCCGTTGGATGATCGAATCATAGGTGGAAGTAATTTTGGGGTTTGTTCTTCAGCTTTACATGCGGAGGCTCTGACGTGCATGTATGGGTTACAATGGGCTTTCGATTATGGGTTTCATTCACTTACAGTATTTACTGACTCATTTAATCTTGTTTCCCTCCTCCGGGGGGATGGTCATGGTAACATGGCCATCCTATGGCTCATCCGCAAGATTCAGCAGCTTGGCTCAACTTTTCAGTTCTGTAGTATTCACAAGGCTGACCGTCAGCGCATTCAAAGAGCTCACCTTATAGCTGGAGAAGCGTCGGTTAACTTTATTAGCTTTAGTATTAATATGTAATCTGTTTGTATCCTTTGTCAAAATAAAAAAATAAAAAAAAAATAAAAAAAATAAAGCTTAATGTCGTTCAAACTGATACATTAAAAAATGGTAGGAATATGATATCTGGTCCTAAAGCTTAATTTTATTTATTTATTTTTTATCAAATAAATAAATTCCTCATTAATATCCCAATATTTAAAAATTGTTTGGTATTACGTGGCTCATTTTAATTAAATTTTGTTCCCATTTCTGTTAAAGCTAGGTCCTCTTTTGCACCAAAAAGTGGTTTCATTTCTGTTCACTCAATTACTAATTTTCTCTTATCATCATTATCATCCCTAAATTTCTCCTTTCCTAAGCACTAATATGAACCAATTAACCAAACAACATAATCATAAAAGGTGACAAAAACTCCAAAACAAAGTTGCATTGGATTATTATTTCTTGTATCACTAATTTGTAGTGAGTACCTAACGACTATAATTTATTTTATTATTTTTTTTTTAGAGAGCCACAAAAGTGGATGATGAGAACTGAGTGATCAGAAAATACAAGTTTATCAATATGATAAACAAAATTTGTTTATCAAATGACAAAATTGTAAATAAATCAACAACTTTTTAGTAAATATTGGTCCCACTGTTGTTGATATATGATAGAGTATAAAAACATATTCCTGGGCCTCAACCATCAGCTTAAGCTTTTGGTTGAGTTGGTCCTTTAACATGGTATCGGAGCCAGCGTGACACAAAGGTCACGGGTTCGAATCTCATCCACCTCCACTTTCAAGTGGAATATTAAGCGCTGGGTATGAGGAGGGCCCATGCTGCATCCACACTTCTAGCCCAAACGGGCTCTCGTGTGAGGGGGGGTGATAAGTATAAAAACATATTCCTGAGCCTCAACCATCAGCTTAAGCTTGTTTATCAAATTGATTAACCGGGGCTTCCTCGAGAATTGATCTCAAAGTCTCCTAAAATTTTAAAGGAAGCTCTAAGCTTCTAACCACCTAAGCTATACCTGACTCTCGATTATAAGTCACTATGCAGTATACATATGTACAATATTGACACATTTTTTGATATTTTGTGTATTAACATAACCTAATAGGCTAATATCACTAAAAGTGATTTATCCTCATAAACTTCACTATCACTTTGAGTGCATCTCAATTAAGGTACACCCGTGAGTCAACGCATTGGTTTCATACTTTGAAGCATGACCACATAAAAGTCAAACCCCATATAGCACTACCAATCTAATACTTCACTGATCAACAAATGGATCGGCAAATAAAATATATGAACATACCATTAATCATTTAATCATATAATAAAATTTAGGAAAAACAATAAAATACAAATCTGATGACATACCTGGAATCCAAACGTTGTAGACCGTCCGATACGACTCTGATCGGATTATCATCTGTAAAGGTATATGGTAACGATACGGTTGCGTAGCAGAAGATCAGAGCTGCTGCTACGATGAAGGGGAGATAGGTGGTGCGACCACCCATTATAATTATGTATTTTTGTTTAGTTTTGGGAGGAAAATAATTGAACAAAGAAATATGTAGAAAAAATAAATTCAATAAAATTGTGAAAAGTTGTTAATCATTTAATTTGAATTTTGTAGCGTTGGGATACCGTTGGGCCAATAATATATTAACGGGTGACAAAGTTTAACAACCAAGTATGGGAAATCGCGAAAAGAAGGAAGAGAGATCTTTCGGCTATGAGGCCTATGACCAAACTAGGCCCGCAAACAATTATTGATGGAAGCGTACCATTAATTTTATTTTATTTTGTTTTATTTCTTTTGATTGTAGTGGACTAATTTTATTTTATTTTATTCCTTTTGGTTGTAGAGGACCAGATCGCGTTATTTAGAGCTGCTTTGCTCTGCTCAAATTAAATCTGCTCTGCTCTGCTTTACTCAAAAGAAATTTGTTATGCTCTGCTCGGCTCAGCTCTGCTCTGCTTAATTTTAAATAATAATTACTAATAACACCAATAATAATTAATATTCAATAATAATAATTAATATTGTATTGATGATAATAATTTATTATTTTGAATAATTATAATAATTATTAATAATAAAAATAATAATTATTATTATTTTAATAATTAATAATAATAATTATTATTATTATTTTAATAATTAATAATAATACTAAGAATAATAATTTTAATAATAATTAATAATACTAATAATAATAATAATTTTAATAATTAATAATAATAATAATTTTAATAATAATAATAATAATTTTTTATAATAATAATAATTTCAATAATAATTAATAATAATTTTAATAATTTTAATAATTATTATTATTAATAATTATTAATGATAATAATAATAATTAATATTATTAATATTAATTATTAAAATTATTATTATTGATTATAATAATAATTAATAATAATAACATTAATAATTATATTAATAATAATGTTGAAATCTGCCCTGCTCGGCTCTGCTCTGCTCTGCTCTGCTCGGCTAACCTGAAATCTTCTCTGCTCTGCTCTGTTGTGCTGAAATTTAATTTGCTCTGCCCTGTTGACCCCTACTGTGCTCTGCCCAAAAGCTCAAAAGAACAGGACCTAAGAGTATCTTTAACAATGATCAAATAAAATTATTTATGTTACTATTGAAATAAAATAATGTAAAAAAATAATGGAATGATGAATAGTGGCATGAAAAAATGTGAATGGCTTGGAAAATCAAATCATTTGTGAAAATTATTTGTGACAAAATTCACTTTTATTGATTATTTTAATGATGAATATTGTAAAGATAAATTGAAGGTGGGGTAGGTGAATAATAACATGAATAATATTGTTCTTTGATTCATTGTTAAGAGGACGATGAATAATTATCTGTTGAGAAATTATCTGGGTTTGATTCGAATCCGAAGTAAAAAAAATCTGATCTAAATCCGTTTAAAATTAGCCCGAATCCGAATTCGATAAAATAGATCCGAATCCAAATAGGAGGCGGATCGGACTTGGACCCTACGCAAAGTTCGACGGAGTCCGATCGAGTCCGAATCCGAGAGTATGAGCATATGCTTTTTAACTTGGGACAATTGTTTGCTTGTTTTGTAGCAAAATTTTCTTATGTAACTTAGTTCATAATTTAAATATGTTTACTTGGTATGACAATTTAAGCAATTATAGGTATATGACATTACAAAAGTAAAATAAAATAAAAAAATATTCGGATTATTTTAGAGGTCCGTATAAATGGACCAGATTCGGATCCGAAAATTATGAGTCGGATCGGATTTGGACTCGGATTTTTTGGATTCGGACTCGGATTCGGATCCGAGTCCAAGGTCCGTTTACTAAACGGATCGGGTTTGGATTTAGTCACATCCGACCCGAATCCGATCCGTTGCCATTCCTAGCAGTGGTAGATGAGAGCAATTTTGTTTCAAATATTCTAATCAATATTGTCTAATATCTGATACTTATAAACCAATATCTGACTATAATAATCTAATTTTTGACACTTTTAATCTAATATCTGATAATTATAATCTAATTTATGACAATTACAATCTAAAATCTGATAATTATACTCTAAAATCTGACTATTATAATCTAATTTTCGACAATTAAAACCTAATATCTAACACTAATAATCTAATATCTGATAATTATAATCTAAAATCCGACTATTATTATCTAATTCCTGACACTTTTAATCTAATATATAATATTTATAACTTAATATCTGACCATTATTATATAAATTCTGACAATTAAGAACTTTATTTTTTTCTGCTTGTGTGACTGGACTCATGTAAGTCCATTCTACACAATACTTTTTTCTTAAATAGTTGTTCAATTTCTCCTTGTGCAGAGTTTTAGGTGAATAAAATATGGAGGTAGTGGGGTAAGGTGGAAAAATAAAAAATTGTAAAAAGTTTAAGTAGTTAAGAGAATTGGAAGTGAGAGAATATGAAATTAATAAAATATGGTTTATGTAGGGTCCACTAGTTGAGATAAATGAATTAAATATTGTAAAAAACTTTTCAAACAAGGATGTGGAGCAAGTATTTAAAAATGGTCGAAAATGAAAAGTGGAGCAAGTATTTAAAAACAGAGGGAGTATTACCATTGTGCATTTGCGCACACTTTCTCTATTTTTAATTACTTACTCCGTTTCTCCATGTGCGGAGGTTTATGAGAAATTAGAGAAGTAATAAAATATGAAAGTAGTGGGGTTAGTAGATGAATAAAAAATTGTAAATAGCAAAAGTACTTTAGAGAATTGGAGGAGAGAAATCTAAAATAAATAAATAAAACGATTTATGTTAGGTTCACAAGTTGAGAGAAATGAATTAAAGATTGTAAAAGATTTCCAAATAAGGAAATTAAGCAAGTAATTAAAAACAACCGAAAATGAAAAATGGAAGAAGTAATTAATTAAAAACGGAGAGAGTATGTGTTTATGGATTTAAATTATGGTGCAAATATCTTTATATTATGCGTTACAATATATTGTATTTTTTTAGGATCATGGACTTGAGGGAAAAAAAAATCTAAATTAGTTGCAATATTTTTATAAATAGCATTTTTAGTAATCCCTGATGATATGTCCAATTTATATAGTGTTTTACCCCCGTCCCGTGGTTATAATTAGTAGTGTTTTTGGCTCTTTAGGGCCACTTTTATTACTAATTTGTGTTTTCTAGTGTTTTCGTAGTTTTGGTTGAGTTTTACAGGAAATTGCACTTTTGGAGCATTTTCCGGGGTTTTACAGGACACGACCATTCTTGAAGCCCAAGATCGGTGAAAGCCGGTGATTAAGGGCTCGGTATGTGATACCGGGGCTATTGGATCAAGTAATCAAGACCCGATTAGGAAATCCGGATTGGGCCGAGGAATCGAGCCCAATCAAAATCCAAGCCTCGAAGAAGAAGCCGGGCCCGATCGGGCAAGCATACGCCCGATCGGGCGGGCGCGCGCAAAGCAACATCAAAGAAGAAGCGCGCCCGATCGGGTGAGCGTAGGTTCGATCGGGCGTAGCATAACAGCAAGGGGCATAGTATAAAGGCGGGCCCGATCGGGCGCGTATTTTTCTAAGTACCTGATTAGTTTTGTTTTAGTTTTTGTTTTAGGAGTGTTTAAATACGAATTTTGTACGTAATTTTGGATTACCTTCTCTTTTAGATTTTCTCTCTCTACTTAGGATATTCTCTCTCTCGTAAATTCTCTCTCAACTTTGTTCTTAATTACATTCATTAATCGAGATTTCTTTTGGTAACAATTTCTTCTCTTTTAATTTCAGTTATCTTATTTAATTCTTTCATTATGTCTTGCTTTATTGATTTGATTAGTTTAGATTTAATTATGCTTGAGTAGTTTTATTTCTAGGGTTTATGGGGATCTAATAAATAATATGAAGGGGTAAATATGTGATTGTTGATTATCAATGCTTGGTTAATTTCCTATTGATTGATTTAATACTATGCAATTAGGTTTGGCCAGATTTAATTGTATGAGTTTAGCAATATTAATTCGAGATTCGACAGATGAGAATTGATGTTTAGGCTTAGTTTCAATAGGCGGACTAATTTAAAAATGGTTAAGTCGAGATTCGACAGATGAGATTTAATACTGGTAAATTAACTCTGTGATTATAATACGTAGCGAATGCCCTTTATAATTTGATTAATCAATGCTTGATGATTGCTTATTATGATTTGCCCTGGAATATTGTTTATTAGTGAACCTATGCCCTATGCCTTTTATATTAAATTTTTCCCTACTTTATTTCCTCCGATCTTATTCTTCGTAGTATAGTCTTTAATTACAACAATATTGGTTACCTTGATAATTTAGATTATAATAATTAATTAGGAGTTGAAAGACTTGTTTCCCTGTGGATTCGACCCAACTTCCCTATCTGCATTAGTTAGAGGACTTAGGTAATAATTTTGATTAGGGGATACGACTTTACCCTGTCACCTTTTGGATGACCCATAATTGACCAATACCGAATAATCCTGACAAAGTAACTCCGGTCACACCGTCGTGTCATCTTGAAAATTTGTGTTTTATAAAATTTGTTCTTTTTATAAAAAACTTCTTATTTTAAAAGAGTGATTCACTAAGTACTTTTGGGGAAAAAACACACACATAATTAAAATCACACTCACATATTATTTTCTCAAAAAAAGAAAAAAAAAAACTCACATCTCTCATATATTAACAAAGTGTATATATATATATATATATATATATATATATACCCGGTGAGAATAGGTTCATATGTGAGAATTCATACTTATGTGAGAACTGATCTATAATTTAGAACACATGAGTAAAAATTTAGAACATACGAGTAAAAATTTAGAACATGCGACTCAAATTTAAATTTAGAACATATGACTAATAATTTTGAACATGTGTGTGAGCAATAATGTAGAACATCTGATTCAAGAATTAGAATATGTGAGTAAAAATTTTTAAAAAAATGCTTTATGAAATTTAGAACATATGATTAAAATTTAGAACATCTGATTTAAAATTTGGAACATGTGAATAAAAAAATTTAGAACACTTGGTATAAAATATAGAAAATGGAAGTAAAAATATTGAACAAGTAAAAATACAGAACATGTGAGTAAAAATTGGAACATATGCTTTCGAATTTAGATTATATAACTAAAAATCTTATAACACTCACACGTTTTAAAATTTAGAACATATAATAAGTTAAAATTTCAGAATAAGTCATTCGAAATTTATAACATCTAACTTAACTAATTTATGGTTTAGAACATGTGAGTACTAATTTAGAACATCTGATTTAATTTAGAACATCTGGGAAAAGGTTTAGAATATCAAATTTAAAATTTAGAA